ACCCAAATACCTGTACTTTCTACTTCTCACATGTTGAACTCAAATACCTGTACTTTCTACTTCTTACATGTTGAACTCAAATACCTGTACTTTCTACTTCTACATGTTGAACTCAAATACCTGTACTTTCTACTTCTTACATGTTGAACTCAAATACCTGTACTTTCTACTTCTTACATGTTGAACTCAAATACCTGTACTTTCTACTTCTTACATGTTGAACTCAAATACCTGTACTTTCTACTTCTTACATGTTGAACTCAAATACCTGTACTTTCTACTTCTCACATGTTGAACTCAAATACCTGTACTTTCTACTTCTCACATGTTGAATACAAATACCTGTACTTTCTACTTCTTACATGTTGAACTCAAATACCTGTACTTTCTACTTCTCACATGTTGAACACAAATACCTGTACTTTCTACTTCTCACATGTTGAACACAAATACCTGTACTTTCTACTTCTTACATGTTGAACTCAAATACCTGTACTTTCTACTTCTCACATGTTGAACACAAATACCTGTACTTCTCCTTCTCACATGTTGAACTCAAATACCTGTACTTTTCTACTTCTTACATGTTGAACACAAATACCTGTACTTTCTACTTCTTACATGTTGAACACAAATACCTGTACTTTCTACTTCTTACATGTTGAACTCAAATACCTGTACTTTCTACTTCTCACATGTTGAACTCAAATACCTGTACTTTCTACTTCTTACATGTTGAACACAAATACCTGTACTTTCTACTTCTTACATGTTGAACTCAAATACCTGTACTTTCTACTTCTCACATGTTGAACCCAAATACCTGTACTTTCTACTTCTTACATGTTGAACTCAAATACCTGTACTTTCTACTTCTTACATGTTGAACTCAAATACCTGTACTTTCTACTTCTTACATGTTGAACCCAAATACCTGTACTTTCTACTTCTTACATGTTGAACCCAAATACCTGTACTTTCTACTTCTCACATGTTGAACTCAAATACCTGTACTTTCTACTTCTTACATGTTGAATACAAATACCTGTACTTTCTACTTCTTACATGTTGAACTCAAATACCTGTACTTTCTACTTCTTACATGTTGAACACAAATACCTGTACTTTCTACTTCTTACATGTTGAATACAAATACCTGTACTTTCTACTTCTTACATGTTGAATACAAATACCTGTACTTTCTACTTCTTACATGTTGAACTCAAATACCTGTACTTTCTACTTCTTACATGTTGAACTCAATACCTGTACTTTCTACTTCTCACATGTTGAACACAAATACCTGTACTTTCTACTTCTTACATGTTGAATACAAATACCTGTACTTTCTACTTCTTACATGTTGAATACAAATACCTGTACTTTCTGCTTCTCACATGTTGAACACAAATACCTGTACTTTCTACTTCTCACATGTTGAACTCAAATACCTGTACTTTCTACTTCTCACATGTTGAATACAAATACCTGTACTTTCTACTTCTTACATGTTGAACTCAAATACCTGTACTTTCTACTTCTTACATGTTGAACTCAAATACCTGTACTTTCTACTTCTTACATGTTGAATACAAATACCTGTACTTTCTACTTCTTACATGTTGAACTCAAATACCTGTACTTTCTACTTCTTACATGTTGAACACAAATACCTGTACTTTCTACTTCTTACATGTTGAATACAAATACCTGTACTTTCTACTTCTCTCATGTTGAACTCAAATACCTGTACTTTATACTTCTCACATGTTGAATACAAATACCTGTACTTTCTACTTCTTACATGTTGAACACAAATACCTGTACTTTCTACTTCTTACATGTTGAATACAAATACCTGTACTTTCTACTTCTCTCATGTTGAACTCAAATACCTGTACTTTCTACTTCTCACATGTTGAACACAAATACCTGTACTTTCTACTTCTTACATGTTGAATACAAATACCTGTACTTTCTACTTCTCTCATGTTGAACTCAAATACCTGTACTTTATACTTCTCACATGTTGAACTCAAATACCTGTACTTTCTACTTCTTACATATTGAACACAAATACCTGTACTTTCTACTTCTCACATGTTGAACCCAAATACCTGTACTTTCTACTTCTCACATGTTGAACCCAAATACCTGTACTTTCTACTTCTTACATGTTGAACTCAAATACCTTTACTTTCTACTTCTTACATGTTGAACTCAAATACCTGTACTTTCTACTTCTTACATGTTGAACTCAAATACCTGTACTTTATACTTCTCACATGTTGAATACAAATACCTGTACTTTGACTTCTTACATGTTGAACTCAAATACCTGTACTTTCTACTTCTCACATGTTGAACCCAAATACCTGTACTTTCTACTTCTCACATGTTGAACTCAAATACCTTTACTTTCTACTTCTCACATGTTGAATACAAATACCTGTACTTTCTACTTCTTACATGTTGAACTCAAATACCTGTACTTTCTACTTCTTACATGTTGAACTCAAATACCTGTACTTTATACTTCTCACATGTTGAATACAAATACCTGTACTTTGACTTCTTACATGTTGAACTCAAATACCTGTACTTTCTACTTCTCACATGTTGAACTCAAATACCTGTACTTTCTACTTCTCACATGTTGAATACAAATACCTGTACTTTCTACTTCTTACATGTTGAACTCAAATACCTGTACTTTCTACTTCTTACATGTTGAACTCAAATACCTGTACTTTATACTTCTCACATGTTGAATACAAATACCTGTACTTTGACTTCTTACATGTTGAACTCAAATACCTGTACTTTCTACTTCTCACATGTTGAACCCAAATACCTGTACTTTCTACTTCTTACATGTTGAACTCAAATACCTGTACTTTCTACTTCTTACATGTTGAACTCAAATACCTGTACTTTCTACTTCTTACATGTTGAACACAAATACCTGTACTTTCTACTTCTTACATGTTGAACTCAAATACCTGTACTTTCTACTTCTCACATGTTGAACACAAATACCTGTACTTTCTACTTCTTACATGTTGAACACAAATACCTGTACTTTCTACTTCTTACATGTTGAACTCAAATACCTGTACTTTCTACTTCTTACATGTTGAACTCAAATACCTGTACTTTCTACTTCTCACATGTTGAACACAAATACCTGTACTTTCTACTTCTTACATGTTGAACTCAAATACCTGTACTTTCTACTTCTTACATGTTGAACTCAAATACCTGTACTTTCTACTTCTTACATGTTGAACTCAAATACCTGTACTTTCTACTTCTTACATGTTGAACACAAATACCTGTACTTTCTACTTCTTACATGTTGAACTCAAATACCTGTACTTTTCTACTTCTTACATGTTGAACTCAAATACCTGTACTTTCTACTTCTTACATGTGAACTCAAATACCTGTACTTTCTACTTCTCACATGTTGAACACAAATACCTGTACTTTCTACTTCTCACATGTTGAACACAAATACCTGTACTTTCTACTTCTTACATGTTGAACTCAAATACCTGTACTTTCTACTTCTTACATGTTGAACTCAAATACCTGTACTTTCTACTTCTTACATGTTGAACACAATACCTGTACTTTCTACTTCTTACATGTTGAACACAAATACCTGTACTTTCTACTTCTTACATGTTGAACTCAAATACCTGTACTTTCTACTTCTTACATGTTGAACACAAATACATGTACTTTCTACTTCTTACATGTTGAACTCAAATACCTGTACTTTCTACTTCTTACATGTTGAACACAATACCTGTACTTTCTACTTCTTACATGTTGAACTCAAATACCTGTACTTTCTACTTCTTACATGTTGAACACAAATACATGTACTTTCTACTTCTTACATGTTGAACTCAAATACCTGTACTTCTACTTCTTACATGTTGAACACAAATACATGTACTTTCTACTTCTTACATGTTGAACTCAAATACCTGTACTTTCTACTTCTTACATGTTGAACTCAAATACCTGTACTTTCTACTTCTTACATGTTGAACACAAATACCTGTACTTTCTACTTCTTACATGTTGAACTCAAATACCTGTACTTTCTACTTCTTACATGTTGAACACAAATACCTGTACTTTCTACTTCTCACATGTTGAACTCAAATACCTGTACTTTCTACTTCTTACATGTTGAACTCAAATACCTGTACTTTCTACTTCTTACACTTTGAACTCAAATACCTGTACTTTCTACTTCTTACACTTTGAACTCAAATACCTGTACTTTCTACTTCTTACATGTTGAACTCAAATACCTGTACTTTCTACTTCTTACACTTTGAACTCAAATACCTGTACTTTCTACTTCTTACACTTTGAACTCAAATACCTGTACTTTCTACTTCTTACATGTTGAACCCAAATACCTGTACTTTCTCCTTCTTACATGTTGAACCCAAATACCTGTACTTTCTACTTCTTACATGTTGAACCCAAATACCTGTACTTTCTACTTCTTACATGTTGAACTCAAATACCTGTACTTTCTACTTCTCTCATTTTCCAAACAGCTGGTTCCTTTAGTCTGAATGTGTGTTTGATGCGTGATCATTATTCTTTAGAGTCATTGCGTGCCTATTGATTTGAACACGATCCGTGTATCCATCATTTCCTGGTCTTCTCTAAAGAAGAGGGACCAATGGAAACGTTGTCATGTTGCCGTTGTTCAGCATGGAAACATTCATTAGCTAACAATGACATTATTGTTCTATTAATATAAAGGGAGGTCAGGTACTCTTTAAAGCAGCTGCTAGTTATGGGTACTTTTTACTGAAGCACACTTCAAAGCCTCTTTACTTTGACTTGAGTAAAGAAGTTTAGTCAGTACTTCTACTTTCACCAGAGTATATTTAAACACGAGTATCTGTACTTCTACTTGAGTAAAGGATGTGTGAACTTGTGTTATCTCTGCTGTCACACCACAGATCCAAACAACATCTACCCGTGGCAGACAGCGCCGGCAGAGCCTCAAGACAAACTGGACTTCAGACACCACAACTACAAGGAGATGAGAAAGGTTTGTCAGAGAAACTGAAACACAGGGATTTTAGTCTCTGCAGACCATTTACATGCACAGAAACCTACAGAACACACTACAGGAGAGGGGACACCACAGAAAACACCATGAGGTCAACCAGAAAGATTTGTCTTGGCCTGCACAGTGGGTTTTAGAAGCTCCCACAGTGTGTGTGTGTGTGTGTGTGTGTGTGTGTGTGTGTGTGTGTGTGTGTGTGTGTGTGTGTGTGTGTGTGTGTGTGTGTGTGTGTGTGTGTGTGTGTGTGTGTGTGTGTGTGTGTGTGGTCTCAGTCTGACCAGAAAACAAATATTATGAGAGGTTTGGATCCTCACTGAGCTGCCACTACCTGCGGTCTGTTTGGAGACTGCTGACGGTCAGCCCACAGAATCAAACACACACTCAGTGTTGGGGAATCATTTCCCTGCATGTCCTCCTTCGCCCTCTGACGCAGCTGACCAGCCTTGAGCAGCCGCTATCTCCCTGAGGAGGGGCTGCTCTAGCAAGTTGTTGATGCTACCAGTTTGTGAGCGGGCAGCTCTCGGTCAGAGATAGTTATTGTTGTGGGACACCTGGAACACATCCTTCTCGGGGTGTAGATGACCCCGAGCCATAAGAGACAACAACTGTGATCCAGTGTCCTCAGCTGTTTAGTCTATCTATTGAAGAATGTTGATTATTACACTCTGAACTAGTTCAAACCTGGAGCTACAGAAGAGTTCTTCAGAATTGATTGTGGCATCTCTACCGTGTGGTCAGACCGTGGCCCTGACATGTTTTGTGAATTCTCCGGCCGAAGCTCCAAATAAACCGTCAGTGTTTGCCATCAAAGCTCCAGCTCTCCTCGTATCTCTCTGAGTCCTGACTCCCATTGCTTCAGAAGTTTCCCCCACACTCAGTCATTGTTTAACAGATTCAGAGTCAGTGTTTAACACACTCAGTCAGTGTTTAACAGACTCAGAGTCATTGTTTAATAGACCCAGAGTCAGTGTTTAACACACTCAGTCAGTGTTTAACAGACTCAGAGTCATTGTTTAATAGACCCAGAGTCAGTGTTTAACACACTCAGAGTCAGTGTTTAACAGACCCAGAGTCAGTGTTTAACAGACCCAGAGTCAGTGTTTAAAACACACCCAGTCAGTGTTTAACAGACCCAGAGTCAGTGTTACACACACACTCAGAGTCAGTGTTTAACTCAGTCAGTGTTTAACAGACCCAGAGTGAGTGTTTAACACACTCAGTCAGTGTTACACACACACACACACACACTCAGAGGCAGTGTTTAACTCAGTCAGTGTTTAACAGACCCAGAGTCAGTGTTTAACACACTCAGAGTCAGTGTTTAACAGACCCAGAGTCAGTGTTTAACACACCCAGAGTCAGTGTTTAACACACCCAGACAGCAGGGAAAAATACAGCCCATAATATCTGATCATGTGTACCCCTCTTACTGGAAGTGGCTTTAACCGTTGATACACAGATATTTAACTCTGACTTGGTGGCTTTATAGATTAATAAAGTCTCAAGTAAGACTCTAAATAACTGTTGTTGTTGTTGTTGTTGTTGTTGTTGTTTCCCAGTTGATGAAGTCGGTGACCGAGGCGTGTCCGAACATCACACGCATGTACAGCATCGGGAAGAGTTACACGGGACTGAAGCTCTACGCCATGGAGATCTCTGACAACCCGGGGAAACACGAGCTGGGTGAGAAGCTTTCAAACCTTTACTACTACTAAAAATAAGTAATTCATTAATTTAAATAAACCAAAAGCGCACCACCGCTAAGCTAAAGGTGGCTAATGTTGGGCTATAAAGGAACTACAGCACGGTCACATGACTTCACCACCGCTAAGCTAAAGGCGGCTAATGTTGGGCTATAAAGGTTACTACAGCACGGTCACATGACTTCACCACCGCTAAGCTAAAGGAGGCTAATGTTGGGGTATAAAGGAACTACAGCACGGTCACATGACTTCACGTCACCACCGCTAAGCTAAAGGAGGCTAATGTTGGGCTATAAAGGAACTACGGCACGGTCACATGACTTCACGTCACCACCGCTAAGCTAAAGGCGGCTAATGTTGGGCGTGATGACGTTCAGTCGTCTCATTTGGACACTTGTTAGCAACCGCAGTTTTTAAATTCACCAGTTGGGTATAAATACAGGCCATAAAAGGTCGTTTTACAATCGAAATCAAGTCAACACAGGACCTCGACAGGCAAATTAAACATATTTTCGAGCACTACATTATACTCAAAAACCTTATTCCTCCTCCTTGATGTTTTTGAAATTCCTTCTTTTCAGATCCACTTCTCTCACAGACTTCATTGAAAGAGCTGGATCTGTTTCGTGTTTGCTTTGCATGCATTGACAGGCGGCTCTGAAATCTCACACCTCCACCTCGCACTGTTTACAAAGAGAGAGCTCACACATACACTTCTTTGACTTGGGTTCAAAAACTGGAGCTGGAAAAACTCCTGAGGATCTCCAACATTTAAACATTGAGTAAAAAGCGCGTAATATCCTTTGGAATAGTTATTTGCAGCAGTGATAGGATGACATCTGTCAATAAAAGACAGATTTTAAACTGAGAGGAATCGTCCTCCACTCTCTTTCTCCGTGATGCCTTCACTGACGTGTGTTTTGGAAAACCTCTCCACTCTTTCAGCTCTGGAGGCCAACGACAACATTTGCACATCTCAGAGCGAATTAAGAAACTGTAGTCTGTTTCGCTCACTGCTGGACTGTGAAGTTTAGCAGGGTTTGGATCTTAACAGAAGTCTTCTCTAAAGCCCCTGTCACACTGTCCCGAAATGTACACCCGATGGACACACGAATATGGAATTGTGAATTTCGCACGAAGATGGCCCCGAACCACACACGAAGGCAACATTTACATTACATTTAAGACATACAACTGCAATGAAAGTACCACAAACAATTATGTTACAGTACTATGATACTGTACTGATATCTTCAGACTTTGTTCTTTACTTTATCCGTCTTTATATGTAGAAGATATTACGTTTTCTCCGTCATGTTGTTTCCATAACAACAACAACTTCCTGTCAACTGTCCTTCAAAATAATATATTATATCCTGTTTAGTTTCACAGAACACAAATTGGGTTATTTACATAATATGTTTACATGATTTTGTTGTGCAATAAAACAACCCGATGGACACACGATAATTCGGCTGTGATCGTAGCAACATCGGGCCATTCGTGAGGGCATCTTAAGCCATCGTATGACCGCCGGTGGAGTTTTTCAGGCTCCGGCAGCAACTTCGTGAGCGGTGGCAAAATCTTTGGCATGCCAAAAAATAGCCGAAGGACCTTGCGAAGGTTCATTTTCGTGTTGAATTCGTGTGTCAATTTTGCCCTTCGTAAGGCCATCGTGAGGGCATCTTGTTATCATCGGTGCCATCGGGCATTCGCCCCGATCAGAGTGAGGGCGAATGCACCGATGATAACACGAAGATGACACGATTTGACAAGATGCCCTCACGAGTGCCTTACGAAGTTGCCCCTCACGAAGTTGCTGCCGGAGCCTGAGAAACTCCACCGGCGATCATACGATGGCTTAAGATGCCCTCACGAATGGCCCGATGTTGCTACGATCACAGCCGAATTTGAACATTTCCTTTATCGTGTGTCCATCGGGTGTCAATTTCGGGACAGTGTGACAGGGCCTTAACAGCTTAGATCACCGTGTGATGGTGAAGCATCTGTCCAGCATTAGAGTGGTGAAGGAATGAGTCCTAAAACCCCGAAATGAGTCAACATGTTCCACTTCCTGTCCCCTAGCCTGGAGGTCAATGTTTTTTCTGAATGTGTTTTTGGTAGTTAACCTGAAATAAGGTCTGTGGGTAACACAAGCTGAAGATATGACATTAGCCGCCTTTAGCTTAGCGGTGGTGACGTGAAGTCATGTGACCGTGCTGTAGTTCCTTTATAGCCCAACATTAGCCACCTTTAGCTTAGCGGTGGTGACGTGAAGTCATGTGACCGTGCTGTAGTTCCTTTATAGCCCAACATTAGCCTCCTTTAGCTTAGCGGTGGTGACGTGAAGTCATGTGACCGTGCTGTAGTTCCTTTATAGCCCAACATTAGCCTCCTTTAGCTTAGCGGTGGTGACGTGAAGTCATGTGACCGTGCTGTAGTTCCTTTATAGCCCAACATTAGCCCCCTTTAGCTTAGCGGTGGTGACGTGAAGTCATGTGACCGTGCTGTAGTTCCTTTATAGCCCAACATTAGCCCCCTTTAGCTCAGCGGTGGTGACGTGAAGTCATGTGACCGTGCTGTAGTTCCTTTATAGCCCAACATTAGCCACCTTTAGCTTAGCGGTGGTGACGTGAAGTCATGTGACTGTGCTGTAGTTCCTTTATAGCCCAACATTAGCCACCTTTAGCTTAGCGGTGGTGACGTGAAGTCATGTGACTGTGCTGTAGTTCCTTTATAGCCCAACATTAGCCACCTTTAGCTTAGCGGTGGTGACGTGAAGTCATGTGACTGTGCTGTAGTTCCTTTATAGCCCAACATTAACTTTTTACCTCATAAATCATAAAGTGGTGTTAATATGTGGAGATTATTCTTCTGAAACAGAACCCTTCTTCACTAACTCCTATGTGTGTTGTGTCGCCCCCTGCAGGAGAACCAGAGTTTCGTTACGTTGCAGGGATGCATGGGAACGAGGTTCTGGGCCGAGAGCTCGTCCTCAACCTCATGCAGTTCATGTGTCAGGAGTACAAACGAGGCGACCAGCGCATCGTCCGCCTGATCCAAGACACCCGCATCCACCTGCTGCCCTCAATGAACCCCGACGGATACGAGATGGCCTTCAAGAAGGTTTCTTAGAACGCTTTTAGATCCTGTAGTCTGCATGATGGCCGGAGGAATGAAAGGTCACCTATCATGCAAAATGCACTTTTTGATGTCTTTTATACATCACTGTGTCCCCGGTGTGTCAGGAGACTCTCAAAGTGTCAGAAATAAACCCCTCTCTCTTCTCCTCCGTACCCACATCTCTAAAAACGGGGGAACAACGGAGCTGATCCAGATTTGCTGCGTCATGACGACATTACTAAAAATGTGGGCGGGCTTACCCCCACGGGCCAATCAGAAACGTTGCTGTCAGAAACAATGAGACATGTTCTGGAAGTATTATGGTCTGTGTTTACATTAGCATGCTAACACTCAGAGCTAACCTGTACCGGAGAGAGTCTGTGTGAAGAAGCAGGAAATCAAAAAGGAAGTCACCTTGTGGTAAACCTGAGAGAGAGAGTTTGAGCTCCTTACTGTTTCAGAGATAATCCTTGATGTGGTTTGGAACATGATATGGAGTTTCATCACGGCAGCGTATAGCTGAGTATCTGGCTTTAAAGCTACTGACCCAGAATCAGCACTTTAGTAACAGGCTGAAATAGAGGGGAATGAGGCTAGAATGGGTGATCTGTTTGGTATTTTGAGCAAAACACTTCATAGACATGTTTTTTCTATATCTGAGAGCTATAATAAATGCCAAAAATAGCATAATAGCAGACCTTTAATCTCCCCTCCTGTTCTCCGCAGGGCTCAGAACTGTCCGGCTGGGCTCTCGGTCGCTACAGCTACGAAGGAATCGACATGAACCATAACTTTGCGGACCTGAACTCTGGGATGTGGAACGCCATCGAGGTGGAGACGGACCGCTCCAAACTCATCAACCATTACTTCCCCCTCCCGGAGATGTACACCTCGGAGGAAGCCTTTGTGAGACACACACCTCTTTTTTCTGTGGTTTCTTTTGTTTATTGTTTTTTTTTTAGCGTATCAAAAGTAGGTAAACAAATCTTCACTTGATAGAAAAGTAGGTAGAGTAACAATGTAGATACTGCTTAACACCAGGGCAAACACAATCCCACACAGGCAGAAGACAAACAGACATACAACAAATAAACAAATAGAAAACCAGTCAGCTTAAACAAAAATGTCAACAATAAACAATAAAAGTCCGTACGGCAGCGTGTTGGGACCCCTCCAAAATGCAAAAGTTTAATCAGGAATGATTGGGAACTTTATCCTCTTGACAAATTTGAAAAAAGGGCCCCATATTTTCCCAAATGTATTTGAGGAGCCACTCAGAGAAAACCTAATCCTGTCCATGTTCAGGAAAAAAAAGGATGTCTCTTATCAAAATGATTTTTTATTGAGCTGTCTCGATCAGTTGTTTCACTGAACTGAGCCTTCGTCTCTCCTCTGAGTCTCTCCTCTGATCCTGAGTCTCTCCTCTGATCCTGAGTCTCTCCTCTGAGCCTGAGTCTCTCCTCTGAGCCTGAGTCTCTCCTCTGATCCTGAGTCTCTCCTCTGATCCTGAGTCTCTCCTCTGATCCTGAGTCTCTCCTCTGAGCCTGAGTCTCTCCTCTGAGCCTGAGTCTCTCCTCTGAGTCTCTCCTCTGAGTCTCTCCTCTGATCCCGAGTCTCTCCTCTGAGTCTCTCCTCTGATCCTGAGTCTCTCCTCTGAGCCTGAGTCTCTCCTCTGATCCTGAGTCTCTCCTCTGAGTCTCTCCTCTGATCCTGAGTCTCTCCTCTGAGCCTGAGTCTCTCCTCTGAGCCTGAGTCTCTCCTCTGAGCCTGAGTCTCTCCTCTGAGCCTGAGTCTCTCCTCTGAGTCTCTCCTCTGATCCTGAGTCTCTCCTCTGATCCTGAGTCTCTCCTCTGAGTCTCTCCTCTGATCCTGAGTCTCTCCTCTGATCCTGAGTCTCTCCTCTGATCCCGAGTCTCTCCTCTGAGTCTCTCCTCTGATCCCGAGTCTCTCCTCTGATCCTGAGTCTCTCCTCCGAGTCTCTCCTCTGATCCCGAGTCTCTCCTCTGATCCCGAGTCTCTCCTCTGATCCCGAGTCTCTCCTCCGAGTCTCTCCTCTGATCCCGAGTCTCTCCTCTGATCCACCAGGTGGCGCCAGAGACCCGGGCCGTCATCGACTGGATGCAGCACATCCCGTTCGTCCTGAGTGCTAACCTCCACGGGGGGGAGCTGGTGGTCACGTACCCGTACGACATGACTATAGACTGGGCTCCAAGAGAGCACACGCCCACCGCCGACGAGAGCTTCTTCCGCTGGCTGGCCACCGCGTACGCCAGCACCAACAGGGTACCCCCCCCACCTGTCACTTTAACACATCTACAGGAAACAACAAGTACCTTACGTGTGTCTCGTATATTAAAGGTCACCTATCATGCAAAATGCACTACTTCATGTCTTCTCTACATAAATATGTGTCCCCGGTGTGTCCCCGTGTGTCCCCGGTGTGTCAGGAGTCCGAAAATAAACCCCTCTCTCTTCTCCTCCGTACCCACATCTCTAAAAACGGGGGAACAACGGAGCTGATCCAGATTTGCTGCGTCATGACGACATTACTAAAATGTGGGCGGGCTTTACCCCCACGGGCCAATCAGAAACGTTGCTGTCAGAAACAATGAGACGTGTTCTGGAAGTAATATGGTCTGTGTTTACATTAGCATGCTAACACTCAGAGCTAACCTGTACTGGAGAGAGTGTGTGAAGAAGCAGGAAATCAAAAGGAAGTCACCTGGTGGTAAACCTGAGAGAGAGAAAGAGTTTGAGCTCCATCCTGTTTCAGAGAGAATCCTTGATGTGGTTTGGAACATGATATGGAGTTTCATCACGGCAGCATTTAGCTGAGTTTCTGAAGGTAGAATTAGTTTTAAAGCTACTGACCCAGAATCAGCACTTTAGTAACAGCTGAAATAGAGGGGGATGAGGCTATTGGTATTTTGAGCAAAACACTTCAGACATGTTTTTATATATCTGAGACCTATAATATATGCCTAAAAATAGCATGATAGGAGACCTTTAACTCATCTACAGGTAACAACACCAAGTGTCCCGTATGTTTATTGATAATCAGGTGATGTCCAACCCGGACCGGAGGCCCTGCCACAACAAGGACTTCAGGAGAAACAACAACATCATCAACGGAGCCGACTGGCACAACGTACCAGGAAGTAAGAACGGGGGTTTTCAAGTAATCCAGAAAGTATTTAAAGAGGCCCTATCCTGCTGTATGTGGTGCTCCCTCTCCTGTAGAGTGTTCTATGGGTGTTAGTGCATGTCAATGGTCTGCAGAGGTTACAATATGTGGGTTCCCTCCAGATGGAGTGTCCCTCTGGTGACTAAATGTTATTTAATGTGGACGCACGTTGATTTTCTGACCGCTCATATTTTATTTAGTTGATATTTCACCATAGATCAGCAACGGGAAAACAATAATGACCAAATGGCAGATTGTAGAAGATGTAGAAAGTGGTCAGTTACAGTCTGTAAGTTAAGTCTAAAATGAAGTAAGATAAGATGGAACTTTATTTATCTCTGTGTGGAAATGCAGGCATTATTATTATCAGGTATTATTATTTAGAATTGTTTTTCTATGTTCTCCTCTCAGGTATGAATGACTTCAGCTACCTGCACACAAAACTGTTTCGCCGTGACGGTGGAGCTTTCCTGCCGACAAGTTCCCTCACGCCAGCGAGCTGCCGGTGGAGTGGATCAACAACAAGGAGTCCCTGCTGGTCTCATGGAGCAGGTGTGCCCCTCTTCCTCTAGCCTTGTTTTACTTATGGCGCGTTTCCACTGCAGCGGGTAGCTCGCTTTAAGCGTGCCGAGCCGTGCGGGGCCCGTTTTTGGTTGCGTTTCCACTTGGCCTAGTACCGGCTAGCGGGTCCTAATTCACAGTTTTTCTGGCCCCATGAAATCGTGGTTCTAGGGCCAGGAACAACCAGGCTGAGTCAGGCTGAGTATGCGAAACTAGAGAGAATCGCTGGCAAGGGGGCTACAACTACAACAAGATGAACATATTTGACCGTGATTTAATTGTAATACACGTTTCAAAATGATGCCGAAGTAACAACACACTGATACCGGTTAGTGAAAACCATGAATTAATGCTTTGACAAGTCTGCAGACAGACGGCAGGCGAAGAACCTTTAAAATGCGTGTTTTCTAAATGGAGCTTGGCTAAGCTAACGTTATATATGCGCCGACCGTCCACACTCACAACAACGGCCTACAGACATTAATAAACCAGCGACTGTATTCGCCATGACACAGACAGTCTGTGGTTTGTACTTGTTTAACTTGTGTCTAGTTTCTGAACAGATATGAGGAGCTGTGAGCTCTGAGTGTTAAGAGATAACGGCTGTGTTGTTTTTCTGGGGCACTCATTGAAGATGACGTCACGGCTCCGCCTACACTGCGTTACTATAGTAACTGCCCCAGTTCCTAAACTGTAATGGAAGCGCAGCATTAAAGTGAGCCGGGCCTAATAAGGCCTAACCAAACCGAGCGAGGCCTGCAGTGGAAACGCGCCATTAATGACCTGTAATCTGTGTTCTCCTCTCTGTCTCAGGTCCATCGGGGGATTAAAGGAGTCGTTCGGGACAGAGAGACGGAGGAGGGAATAGCAGACGCCATCATTAAAGTGGATGATATCGATCATCACATTAGATCAGGTACACACGCTGACACGCGTTCTCACACACGTTCTCACACACAGTGTACAACACAACACAACACACACCAATGGCTGCTCTTCCACATTGCTTTATACTGTTTGTAGTATTTCATCTCCTCAGTTTGTCCTCATTGTCAAAGAATATTTCTGTCTTTACTTTAGATATTTAACCTTTTCTGTGTGTTGACGTTTACGACCAAACCCTGGCTCTGTTATCTCTCTTAAGGGAATGGGAGGCTCCAGCTATCTGATAAACCAGTTCAACTCTCGGTCACGAAATGGTTTACGACTGTGAGAACGCTGGCTTTCTAAGCTCCACAGATGTGAGAGACATCTCCTGTGTCTCCCAGATGTTTGCGCCTCCCCCAATATGCTCATTTAACTCTCTGTAAAACTAGTTAAAAGGTCTATCGAGAGATAGGCTGGGCAGATTTGACATGGCAACCCACCCGTGCAGTCAGAACCTTTGATTGTGTGACTTGTGATGTGAATTTCTCCGGCCGATGCTTGTATTAAAGATCCGTGTTTGACATCAAAGCTCCAACTCTCCTCGTGTCTCTCTGAGTCCTGACTCTCCATTGCTGCAGAAGTTTCCCTTACACTCATATCTCTCCTCTCCTCCTCCAGTTTCAGACGGTGACTTCTGGGCGTCTTCTGAACCCTGGAGAATACAGAGTGACGGTCAGCGCTGAGGGATACCTCTCCTCCTCCAGGAGCTGCCAGGTGTCGTACGACCTTCTACCCCACAATCTGTGACTTCAACCTCTCAAAGGTCCCCATGAGGCTCAGAGACAGACCTGCTGTGGACCTGCAGCTCCGCCTGAGAGAGCTGCGTCTGAAGAAGCTCAGAGCCACGACTAAGACCCTCAACCAGAGGAGAACCGAGAACCAGAGGAGAACCATCAACAAGAAGAGAACCAAGGCCATCAACTAGAGGAGAACCCTCAACCAGAGGAGAACCGAGAACCAGAGGAGAACCATCAACAAGAAGAGAACCAAGGCCATCAACTAGAGGAGAACCCTCAACCAGAGGAGAACCGAGAACCAGAGGAGAACCATCAACTAGAAGAGAACCAAGGCCATCAACTAGAGGAGAACCAAGGCCATCAACTAGAGGAGAACCGAGAACCAGAGAACCATCAACTAGAAGAGAACCATCAACTAGAGGAGAACCAAGGCCATCAACTAGAGGAGAACCAAGGCATCAACTAGAGGAGAACCAAGGCCATCAACTAGAGGAGAACCAAGGCCATCAACGAGAGGAGAACCGAGAACCAGAGAACCATCAACTAGAAGAGAACCATCAACTAGAGGAGAACCAAGGCCATCAACTAGAGGAGAACCATCAACCAGAGGAGAACCGAGAACCAGAGAACCATCAACTAGAAGAGAACCGAGAACCATCAACCAGAGGAGAACCATCAACCAGAGAACCAGAGGAGAACCATCAACCAGAGGAGAACCATCAACCAGAGAACCAGAGGAGAACCATCAACCAGAGGAGAACCATCAACCAGAGAACCAGAGGAGAACCATCAACCAGAGAACCAGAGGAGAACCGAGAACCAGAGGAGAACCATCAACAAGAGGAGAACCATCAACTAGAAGAGAACCAAGGCCATCAACTAGAGGAGAACCCTCAACCAGAGGAGAACCGAGAACCAGAGGAGAACCATCAACTAGAAGAGAACCAAGGCCATCAACCAGAGGAGAACCCTCAACCAGAGGAGAACCGAGAACCAGAGGAGAACCATCAACCAGAGGAGAACCATCAACTAGAAGAGAACCGAGAACCAGAGGAGAACCATCAACTAGAAGAGAACCAAGGCCATCAACCAGAGGAGAACCATCAACTAGAAGAGAACCGAGAACCAGAGGAGAACCATCAACCAGAGGAGAACCATCAACTAGAGGAGAACCAAGGCCATCAACTAGAGGAGAACCATCAACCAGAGGAGAACCGAGAACCAGAGGAGAACCATCAACCAGAGGAGAACCATCAACTAGAGGAGAACCAAGGCCATCAACTAGAGGAGAACCATCAACCAGAGGAGAACCGAGAACCAGAGGAGAACCATCAACTAGAGGAGAACCGAGAACCAGAGGAGAACCATCAACCAGAGGAGAACCGAGAACCAGAGGAGAACCAACAATTGTGTCGTTATCTGAGACAGTTTTTGTGAAAAGTTTATATGTCACACATGCCCCTTCACACCAACGCAGCTCCTGTTCTAGCTCCGTGCTTGCGCTCACAACAACAACGATGGGGGGACTGCGTCGGGTCGATGATCGTGTTACGTAACGTCCACACGGTTTCCGTCGCGTTGAAGCTTGCCGGTGGGGTGTCTGGCGTGCGACCAACAACCCAATCACATTAATCTCCCGCCCGGACACACAAGCACGAGGTTTGATTGGCTAGCGCTTGCACTGGCATATGGTTTGATTGGCTGGTGCTTCCGTCGACGCTTGAAAAGTTGACTTTTCTCAACTTTCGAAGCGAGCAACGGAGACAAAGCGTGACGTCACCCCCATTCAAAGTGAATGGGAAGCGTCTCCGTTGAAGCAACGCACGCTGCCATGTGGACGTACCGTTACTTTTAATCATACGATTTCAGTATGAATTGACGCTGTTAAAGCTTCTCTGGTATAAAATGGGTGATGTTGGCATAGCAACCGAAGCTAAACTACCTATCTTGACTACTTGTTGCTATCCTATTTTCTACAGGCACATTTTTACCGGCGTATTTTTCATTATGATTCTACTTGTGATAGTCGACACGACTACCTGTGCAGCCCATGCATTGATTCCATCCGATAGCTGCTATAATCAGAGGCGGCGGGGTGCTGTAGGCTAGGGAAGGCTAAGCATTCCCAAATATTTGTGTCACTGCATCCTGGTAAAATAAAAATATAATGTATAATGTCTGTGTCTTTGACATTAGCGCTGTGTCCTGTACCACGAAGCCAGTTCAACAGACCCTGGATATGTTTGAGTTCTCTTAACAAACGAGATCTCGCTAAACGGTCCTACGACGCTGGTTATCAACTCGGTAAATCAAGCCAGGGTTTCTCTCTCCAGCTGAGAGCGCGTTCACGTGAAAGGGGCGGGGTTAGCTACATTTGACCAATCAAAAACAAGGACAAGTGTACTGACAGCGCAACATCATACTTCATTAATGAAAAGTAAACTAATATTAGACAAATATTAACTTTAAACATCCATGACTTAAACATATCATCCAGGATACAAGACACATAGTTGCTGCAAGGTGAATACAGAACAACTGGTTAAAAAATAACTACAGAGTGTTTGAAACAGTTTTATGATATCACTGCCCCATCTAAAACACGAGTGGATCTGACTTTAGTTACATTTGAGTTGAGTGTTTCCTCAACCTAATGTGTTGCTTAAAATAATACGTCTGCATACAGTATGTGACACTGTAAGTGTTGCACGGCCAGATACGGCTCGAGAAGCTGACTCAGATAAGGAAATATTGTGATATCGATGTGTGATCGATGATCTGATTGATGATGTGATATCAGTGTGATATGAATGATAAGTGCGACACGTCGGCGTCTTCTCTGCATACGGCAGTTTAAACTGCATTTCCTTTCTCCTGTAATATGACTTGATAGATTTAAACTCCGCACACTGAGCTCTGATTGGTCAGCAGGTGGTGCTTTCACTGAGTTGATCTCTTTTCTATAGACGCCGGAGGCGGGCAGCGTCAGGTAAAAAAAAGTGATTTAGCCTTCCCAAACCTGAGCCTCACGCGCCGCCTATGGCTATAATACAAAACAAAACGTCTGCCTGCTCTCCAATGATCAATGACAGCGAACGGACGGTCAAAGTAAGGTCAAATAAACAGAATCACACCTGGCTAGTGTTATAAAGTGTGTTTTTGTAAGTGTGTGGTTGCGTTCTAGTCACTTTGCTCAGCGCTATTGCTTTGTTACAACTTGTGTTTGCCGTACTCGCCTTTAACTGTTAGCTCAGGTTGATCTCGGCCCCGCCTCCGACGTAAGCGTGACGTATGCGGTTCTTGCTTCTAGGCCGACCTTTTTTGGGAGCTTGGTAAGAACCGGTTTTCGGGGGAAAGAGGCGGCTCCGCTGCGGTGTGAACAGGACAAACCGATGCTTATCAGGCTCTAGCTCCGAACCGGCCCTGGAACCGCGTTGGTGTGAAAGGGGCAACAATGTAGTCCAGGGAATTAAAAGACTACAAGTGCCAGCTTTTAAGAGACAGAGAAATGCGACCTGTGTGGAAGAAGCCATCGAGACACAGTTTTAATCGTTATATTTTATGACGTACAGCGTAACAGAAAGAGAGTTTTTATCATTTGATCTTTCTCTTGTTTTGATTTGTGTGACTTTTGTAAAGGAATATTTTATTCTGATTTAGCACGAGCCGCGTAACATCACCAGAAAACACACGATAGTAAACTCTGTAAATGCGTGGAGGAGACATCATGCTGTTAAGAGGAGACCTTTATTACACAATTACCATTTGACTTTACAGTTTAAAAAAACATGTTTATGAGAGAACCGCCAGCTTCCACTTCACTCCGTTCCTCATCTTCGGAGGAGCCAGGACTTCAGCAGCTGCTAGGAGAAAGAAATGTGTTAAGTACATTTATACATTACGTCAGCTCAGTCCTTACACTTCACTTATAGCGAGTGCTTTCATCAAAGTGGAGTAAAGCGTAATATGAGGTACATCTAGTGCATTGAACGTGTAATTTGTGATGTTGGTGCTGTGTAAATAAAGTTTGATGTGAGTTGAGATGATGGGCTGCACCTTGCTGAGGAGCGGCAGGGTTCTGCTGCTGCTGGAAAGACGCCATGATGCTGTTAGCGGTGGAGTTGGGTCCAGTGAGCTGCAGGAAGAGCGAGACGGAGAGTTCAGAAACAACACCAAAATACAAAGAATATTTACAATGAAAAATAAAACGATACTGCGTGCTCCGGTACACACGTGTGTTTTGACTCATTGCTTTATTAGATTAGGTATACTGGAGTCATCCCTAATGTGGACATGGTTGTGTCCCAGCAGGAGGACAGGTTTTACACACGAGTTAAAAACATAATACAAAAAGGAATAAAGTAATAGATACACCTAAACGGTAAATATTCACATAACCATAGTAGAAAAGATAAATATCAACATAGCAATAATACTCAATATAAAAATACAGATGCACATTACCAAAGTGTGCATGTCCTTTTTTTATCTATGATGAAGCACAATATGTACAATAATATTAAAGATGAAACAGTGCACTTTATGCAGATATATGCTTGCTCTCACCGGGGCTGTGTTTTGACTCCGAGGCACTGCATTTTAAAATGATAAAGTATTTATTGAAACAAGATATCACAGACATTATGCAGATAGATGACGTTCTCACCGGGGTCTGGATGTTCTGTCCGTCGCTCCAGACTTCAGGAAGCGCCGCCTCCATCGTCTGCAGAGACTCTTCATAAATCTGCTGCAGCTTCTCCGCCTGCCGCTCAAAGTGGAACAGAACCAGAGCCTTCAGCAGCCCGTGGACCTCCTCTGGGGACAACAATAAACATCAACGGGACGTTAATATGAATCATCATCAACCCAAGCCTATCTGACACAGATAATTAGACACAGAACTGGAACCCTAATTGTTCATTTAGTCCCCAGAGAACCAAGAGGCGCTTTCACACCGGAGTACTTTTCCTGTTTAGTTCCGATAGTTCCTGGGATTTTGCGTTCACACCAAAAAGAGAACTTAGTCCATGAGAACTTTCAGTCCCTTTTCAGTCCCTGCTAGAGAGGTGGGACTATCCTGGGGAGACAAAGGTAACATTTTCTGATTGGCTGGGCGAATTGCCAACGACGCCCCGTAAAACTCTGAAACGTTTTGTGTTTGTGGCATTAGCATTATTAGCATTAGCATCATTAGCATTAGCCCAGCGCACCAACGCAGAGAGACTAACTTATCGCAACACAAAATAAAACATGGGAGCGGTGGAGATGAGGAGGTGTCGGCGTTCTGGCGATTTACTCGGAAGGCTTCAGTAGAAGCTGCTGGGAGTCCCAGCAGCTTCTACTGAAGCCTTCCCCAACTCCGGGGACTTCTGGCCGGGGACTCCGGGCGGCAGTATACGCCGTGAAGTGGTTTGCGGCCTGCCAGTAAACCCAAAGCAGAAGAAGAAGAAGTGACGCCAGCGGCTGCATTTGCCTAATCCACCCTCAGGGACTTATTCCGGTGTGAACGCGATCTGCTCTTTAGTTCCATGGGGATACTAAGTGCTGGGAACTAAGTGCTGGGAAGTACTTGGTGTGAAAGCGGCTATTGGTTCCTTTATACATGTTATGCAGCTGGTTTGCAAAAACAGTGTTTAGTGGCATGGAAGGAAAAACAGACGTGGCTTTTATTCCACAAATTAAAATCTATACGTTGGCAGATTGCACGCTTTACTTTTGAAACTTGATTCAGACAGACACATAAAACGGAAACAACAGATATAGAAAGAAGACAGCATTTGACAAAGCAGTGATTTAGGAGTTATGGAGCTGATAGAAAGCATACAGTCTTATGTAAGAGGATGAAACTGTTTCAAAAATAAAGAGAACATGATTCTCACAAACGTGGACATTTCTTACCTCAAACTATCTTCAGCACGAGTCAACGATGCACAACCAAAAACTATTTCAATGTGGACAGACCTGATACCTAACATAAAAGAGCTTCTACCTAGATGAGCATGCTGTCCCTTAGTGTGTATTCAGTATTACAGAGTGTGTATTTTAGAGTGTGTATTCAGTATTTCAGAGTGTGTATTTCAGAGTGTGTATTTCAGAGTGTGTATTTCAGAGTGTGTATTTCAGAGTGTGTATTTCAGAGTGTGTACCTCTCATCTTGTCCACAGTAGTGAGGATTTCTCCCAGAGCGTATATCAGCGCTCGGTCCTCCATCGGGCTCCCCTCCTTCAGACTCAGCTTCTTCCTCTCCGCTTTACGCCGGTTCTTTGAGGATCTCCTGCAGACAGACCAGGAACATTAAACATTACAACACACAACCTTAAAGAATCTGACAGCATGTTCAGGTGTGAGAGACTTACGAGGAGATGCGGGAGTTACTGTGGGAATATTTGGATCCCGTCATCACACTGCTGGCCTCAGAGTAAAGTTCAGCATCAGGACAATCAGGACCGTCTTCATCTGAGGGACAACGCAGGGGGTAAACACTACTTTAAAGAGTCCTCTCCTGCTGATGTTCAGGTGTATATCAGTATGTAGTGTCTCTACTTTAAAGAGTCCTCTCCTGCTGATGTTCAGGTGTATATCAGTATGTAGTGTCTCTACTTTAAAGAGTCCTCTCCTGCTGATGTCCAGGTGTGTATCAGTATGTAGTGTCTCTACTTTAAAGAGTCCTCTCCTGCTGATGTTCAGGTGTATATCAGTATGTAGTGTCTCTACTTTAAAGAGTCCTCTCCTGCTGATGTTCAGGTGTATATCAGTATGTAGTGTCTCTACTTTAAAGAGTCCTCTCCTGCTGATGTTCAGGTGTATATCAGTATGTAGTGTCTCTACTTTAAAGAGTCCTCTCCTGCTGATGTTCAGGTGTATATCAGTATGTAGTGTCTCTACTTTAAAGAGTCCTCTCCTGCTGATGTTCAGGTGTATATCAGTATGTAGTGTCTCTACTTTAAAGAGTCCTCTCCTGCTGATGTTCAGGTGTATATCAGTATGTAGTGTCTCTACTTTAAAGAGTCCTCTCCTGCTGATGTTCAGGTGTATATCAGTATGTAGTGTCTCTACTTTAAAGAGTCCTCTCCTGCTGATGTTCAGGTGTATATCAGTATGTAGTATCAGTATGTAGTGTCTCTACTTTAAAGAGTCCTCTCCTGCTGATGTTCAGGTGTATATCAGTATGTAGTGTCTCTACTTTAAAGAGTCCTCTCCTGCTGATGTTCAGGTGTATATCAGTATGTAGTGTCTCTACTTTAAAGAGTCCTCTCCTGCTGATGTTCAGGTGTATATCAGTATGTAGTGTCTCTACTTTAAAGAGTCCTCTCCTGCTGATGTTCAGGTGTATATCAGTATGTAGTGTCTCTACTTTAAAGAGTCCTCTCCTGCTGATGTTCAGGTGTATATCAGTATGTAGTGTCTCTACTTTAAAGAGTCCTCTCCTGCTGATGTTCAGGTGTATATCAGTATGTAGTGTCTCTACTTTAAAGAGTCCTCTCCTGCTGATGTTCAGGTGTATATCAGTATGTAGTGTCTCTACTTTAAAGAGTCCTCTCCTGCTGATGTTCAGGTGTATATCAGTATGTAGCGTCTCTACTTTAAAGAGTTCTCTCCTGCTGATGTTCAGGTTTATATCAGTATGTAGTGTCTCTACTTTAAAGAGTCATCTCCTGCTGATGTTCAGGTGTATATCAGTATGTAGTGTCTCTACTTTAAAGAGTCCTCTCCTGCTGATGTTCAGCTGTATATCAGTATGTCGTGTCTCTACTTTAAAGAGTCCTCTCCTGCTGATGTTCAGGTTTATATCAGTATGTAGTGTCTCTACTTTAAAGAGTCATCTCCTGCTGATGTTCAGGTGTATATCAGTATGTAGTGTCTCTACTTTAAAGAGTCCTCTCCTGCTGATGTTCAGCTGTATATCAGTATGTAGTGTCTCTACTTTAAAGAGTCCTCTCCTGCTGATGTTCAGGTGTATATCAGTATATAGTGTCTCTACTTTAAAGAGTCCTCTCCTGCTGATGTTCAGGTGTATATCAGTATGTAGTGTCTCTACTTTAAAGAGTCCTCTCCTGCTGATGTTCAGGTGTATATCAGCATGTAGTGTCTCTACTTTAAAGAGTCCTCTCCTGCTGATGTTCAGGTGTATATCAGTATGTAGTATCTCTACTTTAAAGAGTCCTCTCCTGCTGATGTTCAGGTGTATATCAGTATGTAGTGTCTCTACTTTAAAGAGTCCTCTCCTGCTGATGTTCAGGTGTATATCAGTATGTAGTGTCTCTACTTTAAAGAGTCCTCTCCTGCTGATGTTCAGGTGTATATCAGTATGTAGTGTCTCTACTTTAAAGAGTCCTCTCCTGCTGATGTTCAGGTGTATATCAGTATGTAGTGTCTCTACTTTAAAGAGTCCTCTCCTGCTGATGTTCAGGTGTATATGAGTATGTAGTGTCTCTACTTTAAAGAGTCCTCTCCTGCTGATGTTCAGGTGTATATCAGTATGTCGTGTCTCTACTTTAAAGAGTCCTCTCCTGCTGATGTTCAGCTGTATATCAGTATGTCGTGTCTCTACTTTAAAGAGTCCTCTCCTGCTGATGTTCAGGTGTATATCAGCATGTAGTGTCTCTACTTTAAAGAGTCCTCTCCTGCTGATGTTCAGGTGTATATCAGTATGTAGTATCTCTACTTTAAGAGTCCTCTCCTGCTGATGTTCAGGTGTATATCAGTATGTAGTGTCTCTACTTTTAAAGAGTCCTCTCCTGCTGATGTTCAGGTGTATATCAGTATGTAGTGTCTCTACTTTAAAGAGTCCTCTCCTGCTGATGTTTCAGGTGTATATCAGTATGTAGTGTCTCTACTTTAAAGAGTCCTCTCCTGCTGATGTTCAGGTGTATATCAGAATGTAGTGTCTCTACTTTAAAGAGTCCTCTCCTGCTGATGTTTCAGGTGTATATCAGTATGTAGTGTCTCTACTTTAAAGAGTCCTCTCCTGCAGATGTTCAGGTGTATATCAGTATGTAGTGTCTCTACTTTAAGAGTCCTCTCCTGCAGATGTTCAGGTGTATATCAGTATGTAGTGTCTCTACTTTAAAGAGTCCTCTCCTGCAGATGTTCAGGTGTATATCAGTATGTAGTGTCTCTACTTTAAAGAGTCCTCTCCTGCAGATGTTCAGGTGTATATCAGTATGTAGTGTCTCTACTTTAAAGAGTCCTCTCCTGCTGATGTTCAGGTGTATATCAGTATGTAATGTCTCTACTTTAAAGAGTCCTCTCCTGCTGATGTTCAGGTGTATATCAGTATGTAGTGTCTCTACTTTAAAGAGTCCTCTCCTGCTGATGTTCAGGTGTATATCAGTATGTAGTGTCTCTACTTTAAAGAGTCCTCTCCTGCTGATGTTCAGGTGTATATCAGTGTGTAGTGTCTCTACTTTAAAGAGTCCTCTCCTGCTGATGTTCAGGTGTATATCAGTATGTAGTGTCTCTACTTTAAAGAGTCCTCTCCTGCTGATGTTCAGGTGTATATCAGTATGTAGTGTCTCTACTATTTAAAGAGTCCTCTCCTGCTGATGTTCAGGTGTATATCAGTATGTAGTGTCTCTACTTTAAAGAGTCCTCTCCTGCTGATGATCAGGTGTATATCAGTATGTAGTGTCTCTACTTTAAAGAGTGCTCTCCTGCTGATGTTCAAGTGTATATCAGTATGTAGTGTCTCTACTTTAAAGAGTCCTCTCCTGCTGATGTTCAGGTGTATATCAGTATGTAGTGCCTCTACTTTAAAGAGTCCTCTCCTGCTGATGTTCAGGTGTATATCAGTATGTAGTGTCTCTACTTAAAGAGTCCTCTCCTGCTGATGTTCAGGTGTATATCAGTATGTAATGTCTCTACTTTAAAGAGTCCTCTCCTGCTGATGTTCAGGTGTATATCAGTATGTAGTGTCTCTACTTTAAAGAGTCCTCTCCTGCAGATGTTCAGGTGTATATCAGTATGTAGTGTCTCTACTTTAAAGAGTCCTCTCTGCAGATGTTCAGGTGTATATCAGTATGTAGTGTCTCTACTTTAAAGAGTCCTCTCCTGCAGATGTTCAGGTGTATATCAGTATGTAGTGTCTCTACTTTAAAGAGTCCTCTCCTGCAGATGTTCAGGTGTATATCAGTATGTAGTGTCTCTACTTTAAAGAGTCCTCTCCTGCTGATGTTCAGGTGTATATCAGTATGTATGTCTCTACTTTAAAGAGTTCCTCTCCTGCTGATGTTCAGTGTATATCAGTGTAGTGTCTCACTACTTTAAAGAGTCCTCTCCGCTGATGTTCAGGTGTATATCAGTATGTAGTGTCCTCTACTTTAAAGAGTCCTCTCCTGCTGATGTTCAAGGTGTATATCAGTATGTAGTGTTCTCTACTTAAAGAGTCCTCTCCTGCTGATGTTCAGGTGTATATCAGTATGTAGTGTCCTCTACTTTAAAGAGTCCTCTCCGGCTGATGTTCAGGTGTATATCAGATGTGTGTCTCTACTTTACAAGAGTCCTCTCTCCTGCTGATGTTCAGGTGTATATCAGTATGTAGTGTCTCTACTTTAAAGAGTCCTCTCCTGCTGATGTTCAGGTGTATATCAGTATGTAGTGTCTCTACTTTAAAGAGTCCTCTCCTGCTGATGTTACAGGTGTATATCAGTATGTAGTGTCTCCTACTTTAAAGAGTCTCTCCTGCTGATGTTCAAGGTGTATATCAGTATGTAGTGTCTCTACTTTAAAGAGTCCTCTCTGCTGATGTTCAGGTGTATATCAGTATGTAGTGTCTCTACTTTAAAGAGTCCTCTCCTGCTGATGTTCAGGTGTATATCAGTATGTAGTGTCTCTACTTTAAAGAGTCCTCTCCTGCTGATTGTTCAGGTGTATATCAGTATGTAGTGTCCTCTACTTTAAAGAGGTCCTCTCCTGCTGATGTTCAGGTGTAATATCAGTATGTAGTGTCTCTACTTTAAAGAGTCCTCTCCTGATGATGTTCAGGTGTATATCAGTATGTAGTGTCCTCTACTTTAAAGAGTTCCTCTCCTGCTGATGTTCAGGTGTATATCAGTATGTAGTGTCTCTACTTTAAAGAGTCCTCTCCTGCTGATGTTCAGGTGTATATCAGTATGTAGTGTCTCTACTTTAAAGAGTCCTCTCCTGCTGATGTTCGGGTGGATATCAGTATGTAGTGTCTCTACTTTAAAGAGTCCTCTCCTGCTGATGTTCAGGTGTATCTCAGTATGTGGTGTCTCTTACTTAAAGAGTGCTCTCTGCTGATGTTCAGGTGTATATCAGTATGTGTGTCTCTACTTTAAAGAGTCCTCTCCTGCTGATGTTCAGGTGTATATCAGTATATGTAGTGTCTCTACTTAAAGATGTCCTCACCTGCTGATGTCAGGTGTATATCAGGGTATTGTCTCTACTTTAAAGAGTCCTCTCCTGCAGATGTTCAGGTGTATATCAGTATGTGTGTCTCTACTTTAAAGAGTCCTCCTGCAGATGTTCAGGTGTATATCAGTATGTAGTGTCTCTACTTTAAAGAGTCCTCTCTCGCAGATGTTCAGGTGTATATCAGTATGTAGTGTCTCTACTTTAAAGAGTCTCTCCTGCTGATGTTCAGGTGTATATCAGTATGTAATGTCTCTACTTTAAGAGTCCTCTCCTGCTGATGTTCAGGTGTATATCAGTGTGTAGTGTCTCTACTTTAAAGAGTCCTCTCCTGCTGATGTTCAGGTGTATATCAGTATGTAGTGTCTCTACTTTAAAGAGTCCTCTCCTGCTGATGTGTTCAGGTGTATTCAGTATGTAGTGTCTCTACTTTAAAGAGTCCTCTCCTGCTGATGTTCAGGTGTATATCAGTATGTAGTTTGTCTACTTTAAAGAGTCCTCTCCTGCTGATGTTCAGTGTATATCAGTATGTAGTGTCTCTACTTTAAAGAGTCCTCTCCTGCTGATGTTCAGGTGTATATCAGTATGTAGTGTCTCTACTTTAAAGAGTCCTCTCCTGCTGATGTTCAGGTGTGTATCAGTATGTAGTTTCTCTACTTTAAAGAGTCCTCTCCTGCTGATGTTCAGCTGTATATCAGTGTGTAGTGTCTCTACTTTAAAGAGTCCTCTCCTGCTGCTGATGTTCAGGTGTGTATCAGTATGTAGTTTCTCTACTTTAAAGAGTCCTCTCCTGCTGATGTTCAGGTGTATATCAGTGTGTAGTGTCTCTACTTTAAAGAGTCCTCTCCTGCTGATGTTCAGGTGTATCAGTATGTAGTCTCTACTTTAAAGAGTCCTCTCCTGCTGATGTTCAGGTGTATATCAGTATGTAGTGTCTCTACTTTAAAGAGTCCTCTCCTGCTGATGTTCAGGTGTATATCAGTGTGTAGTGTCTCTACTTTAAAGAGTCCTCTCCTGCTGATGTTCAGGTGTATATCAGTATGTAGTGTCTCTACTTTAAAGAGTGCTCTCCTGCTGATGTTCAGGTGTATATCATGTGTAGTGTCTCTACTTTAAAGAGTCCTCTCCTGCTGATGTTCAGGTATATATCAGTATGTAGTGTCTCTACTTTAAAGAGTCCTCTCCTGCTGATGTTCAGGTGTATATCAGTGTGGTGTCTCTACTTTAAAGAGTCCTCTCCTGCTGATGTTCAGGTGTATATCAGTATGGTGTCTCTACTTTAAAGAGTCCTCTCCTGCTGATGTTCAGGTGTATATCAGTGTGTAGTGTCTACTTTAAAGAGTCCTCTCCTGCTGATGTTCAGGTGTATATCAGTGTGTAGTGTCTCTACTTTAAAGAGTCCTCTCCTGCTGATGTTCAGGTGTATATCAGTATGTAGTCTCTACTTTAAAGAGTCCTCACCCAGCATGTCCAGTCTGTGTTTCTCTTTCTGCTCTCGGACCACAGAGAGTCTGATCCGGTGTCTAGTGAACGTCGCCACCTGAACCTCCAGGAACCCAATCTGAGTGCTGAAAGCTGACACAATAACAACAACAACAACATTAGTAAACAACAACACAACATCCCCAGAGGTAAATATCTGTTGATCTTCACCTTCCAGCAGCGCAGGCTTCAGGTTGGTCTCAGTGATATCCTGTCTGTTGTGCATGTAGATCTGAAGCAGACAGAACATACATCACAGGAGAGTCAGATATAGATAACGGATATATTTCATTCGTCCCGTAAAACCAAATGTACAATAATTGCCACAAAACATGACTCTACCAAAACACCATTGAGCGCAAAGGAGCAGGGAGAAGAATCCAATCTTATGTGACCTGCCCCTTTCTAAAAAAACAAAATAAATACAAATAGATGGTCTGCCCTTCACAAACATAACAGTATCTTAGGATACTAAGAGAAACACACAAAAATACTTATTTCCCACTTGACGGTTAACGGAAAGAAACAAAACAACACAGGAAGAGAGTATTTCAAACTGACCAGCCGCAGCGCCTCGTCCCAGACGGACCCAGTGATCAGAGCCAAGATGGCCTCCTCACAGTCCTGGAATATAATAACAATACAAATCATAATACTACATTTTATTGTGAACCAGAACCAGGTTTACCAATAGAAGGAGTTATGGTGTGTAACAGTGTTCACATGAACACAGTCAAATTATGTTTCCGATAGTTACAAAATAAACAAAATAAATATACAAAAAGCAAATATTTGTTTTCACTATGAAGAATTAATATGTGCAGTTTATTAGGAGAGGTAGTATTGAAGAGAAAAGTGCAAAACATACAGAACAGAGTGCATAATGTTATGTTTATAATATATGCAAAAGAGTGAGATAATATTCTAGTAGATTCACGATAGGTGTTTTTCTGGCTCACTTTAGCGTACTGGTCCAGCAGCAGAGCGGCTTCCGAGTGTCTCCTCTGTTCGATCAGCTTCTCTGTGAGAGAGGGAACGAGAACATATTTTAGGGTTTATTTACAGAGACCCCCTGCTGGTTCCTAGAGGAGAGGAAGGTTCCTAGAGGAGAGGAAGGTTCCTAGAGGAGTGAAAGGACCCGGAGGTCTCTAAGCCATGAGAAGAGCTGTTCAGATTCTCAGTGATTTTTAACCTCTTCTGAGTCATGGTGCAATTCCCGCGGCACAACAACAACCCAAAACGTTTTAAAATGACGACACAGTCCTGTCTTTTATATATTTTGACCACCACTCATACTCCGCACTAATATTTAGGATTTTGTCCAGGAGTCAGTTCAGAGTCTGCATTTATCCATCGCTGTTTGTCTCGTTAGCGCAGCCTCCACCAAGCATCACTTCATTCTACATTACTGCGCTACCTACTGCCCCCCACTGGCATTCAAGAGTATTTCATTGCAGCCACAGGCCGTAAACAATGGCAAATTATTTGCAGCAAATGTTTTTTTTTAGACCGATTTAAGTGGAATTGGACAATTTCCCACGGCACACCTGACGACATCTCACATCGGCTGAGAATCACTGCTCTAGAGATGGTAGGAAAGGAGCTTCAATGCTTCCTTTATCATGTCCTTTAGGAAACACTGGACCTTGATTTAGGAAAGGAAAGGAGATAATGCTGTCCCACAATGCCTTGCGTTACATTTGGCTTCACGTAGAACAACCGATCGTGGCGAGAAACGCAGATCCAGTGAGACACGGTGCTAACTCAGCATTTTACGACTTATGCTGTAGAGCGCTTTTGTTGAACCCGCGTTCCCTCTACCCGCGTTCCCTCTACCCGCGTTCGGGTTCCCCCTGCCCGGGTTCCCCCTGCCCGGGTTCCCCTGCCCGGGTTCCCCCTGCCCGCGTTCCCCCTGCCCGGGTTCCCCCTGCCCGCGTTCCCACTGCCCGCGTTCCCCCTGCCCGCGTTCCCCCTGCCCGCGTTCCCCCTGCCGCGTTCCCCCTGCCCGCGTTCCCCCTGCCCGCGTTCCCCCTGCCCGCGTTCCCCCTGCCCGCGTTCCCCCTGCCCGCGTTCCCCCTGCCCGCGTTCCAGTTTACCTGCGAGGTCTCGTGCCAGCAGGGCTATCTGGTCCGGAGGCAGGGGGATCTGCTGCGCTGCACACACAGCATTCCTCCAGCAGGAGGCGCTGGCGAACGCCTGCAGAGCGGCTGCTGGTTCTCCACATCTCCAGAGCAGCAAGCCAGCCTGCTCCATCTGCTGGTTCTGCATCAGGTGGTCCGCGTACACACAGCTCAGAGCCTGCAAGACAGAGGTCAGGGCTCAGACTCTCCTTAACACTAGAACCACCAACAGGTACATTTTAGATAGATAGAGAGACACTTTTAGCGATATCTGCACACTAGATATCATATGAAAGCTGAGAGTCCACAGATTCTATCCGTTTCATCACGTTCAAAACTCACTGTGTTCTAGTATGTATACATTCTAAAAGATCTGTTACCTTGTAGTGAGGAGGGTCTGCAGAGTAGAGTCTCAGAGCTTCACTGTACAGCTTCTGCTCCTTCACCAGCTGCAGGGCTTCTGGGAAATGCTCTGCGCCTGAAACACAGATCACATCAACTCAATTATAAATTCAAAGTGTTTCTCAAAGTGTTTAAAAGTGAAGAGTATAGGTGGCAACAAAGACACGCAGTCAATGAGTAAACAATGCTAAGTGAATGGAACAGTGGAAATAATTAACTTGTGTTTAATGTGCAATTACAATGATATACAGTTCAGTAACTTTAAAATAAGAAATGAATTAAAATGAACGTGTTTACATATCTGGGTCGTATAAACATATTAGATGTAGGAGTCAGGTGGTCCGTGTGTGTCTGTATTGGTTTAGAGTGGTGCTTGGTGTGAAGCGGTTTGAGGAGCACTGACCCGCCCTGCTGAGGTGCTGCAGAGCCTTCCTGTAGCGCTTCAGGTGTTTATCGATGCTGTAGCGCTGGTAGTTCGGCTCCAGACTCTTCAGCATGTTCAGGAAGGGAAGGTACTCTTTGGGGTCCTGCAGGGAGGGAGGGGGGGGGGGGGGGGGGG